AAAAAAAAAAACAGATATTAGAAAACAGATGGAGGCAGGAGAGGAACATCAGACACACTTCAATAGTATTTGTTTTTTTATTTGTCTCTCTCTCTATCTCTAGTATTTTGAGTTCTTTTTAATGTAAATCTTCTTTTTTTACAGTTCTACAAAAGAACAACCAAAGATGTATGTGCTGATATCATGCATTCATCGCTAATACCACAAATCCTGCAGTGTATATTTAACAACATGCAACATGTTAAGAGTTTAAAAAAAGAATTGTAAGTAAAATTGCTAAAAATTAACCCAAAACGGACAAGCTAGGTAAAAGTAGACTAAATGCTAAACATGAGGGAGGCACCAAGCAGCTAAATAAATAAATAAAAGTAGCCAAATGGTAAACAAAAAGCTGAAAATAAGACATAATTAAGTAGCAAAGACATGGACTAAAATGATAGTTAACTCATGAAGCACCTCTGCTGACGATTTTCACATTTAACTGTTAGAAAACAAGAGAACAAATGTAGCCAAAGACAGACAAGACAGCCAAAAGAGGTGGCGACAATTAGCAATTATGTAAATAAATAAAATTAGAAAACAAGAGAACAAATGTAGCCAAAAACAGAAGACAGCCAAAAGAGGTGATCACAATTAGCGATTATGCAAATAATTAAAAAAAGAAAACTACGTACAAACATCACCTAATGCTAACACGGCACCATGACAACATACACAAACACAGACAGGCTTCACATATTATCACTTTTGAACCTTAGTTTGGTGTTTGACTTCCTCAGACCTCTTTTCCTGTTTGCACGGCACAACAGAAGTTTTATTTTTAACAGGAAAAGAAATAAAGAATCATAGAAAACGTCAGCGTTTGAAAGCGATTCAACTCTACTCCAAGTACAACAAACATAATAAAACAGCACTATTTAACAATATTTGCTCAGAGTATTTCTTATATTTATTCTTGTCCTTACCTCATTCTCTGCGTCCTCTTCATTCTGACCTCCCATTTTATACACAAATAAACATTTAAAACAAGTCAACAGTCGGTTGGACTGAGGGCGGCAACTGTTTCTTCTCTGGTGGTTTAAAGCAGTTTCATCCTGTTACTAACGTGCACTTTTATCACTGTTCTTCTGCTTCCTCAACAGTCTTCACTTTACATTTATTTTTAAATTATATTTCCTCTCCTGAATTATCCTCTCTAGTTTTCCACCTGCAGACGTCTATGTGTGGTCGCCATGTTTTTCTATACGTACACATCAAAGGTCCCCGTCTTTGATGGATCCCCGGCTCGACAAGCTAACAGGCTAACAAACTTAGCATCATCCCCAAGCGTCCTCCGCTGTCGCTGAGCAACCACAGCGAGATAGAAATGGCATTATGGGTAATGTAGTGTAGTAAGAGCGACTCTTGTGTTTTCAGTTATATACATGGAAAAAAAAAACTCGCGTTAACAGATGTTTTAACATCGCTGTGTCCAAAGTCTGGTCCTGCTGCTACATGTCGTACATGGACATTTCCTAGAAATGTTCTGACTTTTAATTGAACAACATCTGTGCAGAGTTGGATTAATCTTTTAACACATCCTTGAACTAGAATGTAGCAGCACATCATTACAGGAAGTAAAAAGTTATGTAACTTGAAAGAAATTATTACATTTTGTTTAGATTTTAATATTTATATATTGGATTGCCAGACAATTTACAATACTCACCGACTGAAAAAAAGAAGAAGAATAAAACACGATTGCCAGACAATTTACAATACTCACCAACTGAAAAAAAAAGAAGAATAAACAAAAGACAGAAGAGACAAGTCAGTGATTCATTGATTTATTTGTTTTTACCCACCTCATTGTGTATTAGTGTAAGATGTGATCATCTGTAAAAGCTTGATTTAAATAAGACAATCACTCCAAAGCGTTAAGTGGTAAAAAAAAAAAAAGTGAATTCCTCTAATAATAAAAAGTGAAATGAAACCTTATATTTATATCTGTCATCAAGTCTGTTCATCAGGAGTGTTTTCTACCGGACTCAGTGCTGAGAACATGGCCGTCTTCACACTCAGGTAGCGTTGCGCCAGAGTTCCTCGCGCACAGCATTACAACCAGAAGTGAAGTGAAGTCACCAGCTGAATGAGCAGATTTTATGTGAGATTTCACCGAGTACACAGGTTTCAGCGCGGCAGGCCAGTCGCTCAGCAGCTTCCCTGTTGTTTTCCCATCGATCCCGGCCCGTGTGTCATTATGATGGATTGCTCCGCGGGCTTCAGGGAGAGCGCAGCCATATTGACGAGGCTCCCATTTCCCCCTCCTGCTCTCGTTAAGTACTTCTCTCCTAAGTTAATGAACTAAAAAGCTGGGAGAGTTGAGGGGAGATGAATGGTTTGGGATCAGCTTCAGAGTGTTTACGTTGACTTCACTTCCATAGAATCAAAGCACACGTTCACTGATGAGTCCAGTAGCTCTGACTCATAACTACAGTATCTGCGGCTAGATGGACGGACGGAAGGTCTGGAAAAAAAAATGAGTTGCTCAGAATGTTCCACACCTGCTAAAAAAAGGGACAAAAAGGACAGAAAATTGACCCTATGTGTGACAGAATTCCCGGCTCGGGAATTCTTCGGGGACTATCTCAAATTGACAGCAGGCGGAAGTTGTGGCCTCATTCACACGGTGTAATGTGGCGTCTGTTACTGCAGACACAGCGGTGTAATTGAGTGCAGCCGTTTAAATCTAACAGAGAAATGAGATGAATGAAAGTCCGACGTTTGAGACAGAGTCCAAAAACAATCAGGAGATGATGTCATGGTCACATGACCAGAGGAGCGAGCAGAGGTCAGATAGTAACTAGCTATAACTGATGTTGCTCAACCACAACATATCCTTCCTGATGCGATTTAGCTACCATATGTGGACCAGGTGGTACCCAAACTAAAGCCCTCTAGTGGCAGACTGGGGTCCTGCCACTGGACCACTGTAGCCTCCTTTACTGAACGAAAATGTTTCTAAGTTTATATATGGTGAAATGAAATAGACTTATAAAAATTAAAAAAACATACTGCTGTTTAAATGTCAGGTTTTGGAAGAAAAAACAAAACAAAAAAAGTGTTGATTTTTTTTACTTTTAGATGCCCCCTCCCCCATATTTAAAGAAATCTATTTATTTAACAAAAAGTATCAACAATGTTTCAATGTATTGAAGGGAAAATCTTATAAATGACTGCATTTAGAAATAACCAGTCACATTAAAGCCAATCTGATCCTGCTGACTCAGACCAAACATGGCTGTATAGGATTTACTTCTGTTGAATCTTACAGAGCGCTATGGTGTTGACAGAGCTGAGTAATAACTGTAGCAGGTCCATGATGTGGTCAAGGCCACAACACATCGCAGTACGATGTTCAACCTGTGGTGTGCAGACTGGGTTTTTAACAGTTATACATAATTGTGGGACCTGATATTCACCATTAGTTTGAAAAACCTGACATTAAAACAGAGGGTCTCCTGCACACCTGACCTACAAATGCACCAGCCTGTGAACCCTGTCCTGACCTCTGACCTCTGCCCTGCTGCCCTCCTACACCGTGGTGATCTTCTTGTCCTTGTTGGCCTGTTTGATGGCGGCCTGCTCACAGATGATCTCCTTCAGCCTCTGCAGCCGGACGTTCTGGGTGCTCAGGTCTCCGACGCCGGTCTGGCTGCGGTGCAGCAGCGACAGGGCGTTGATGTACTCCAGCTCCGTGTAGCGGACCCCCTGGTCCACCACCAGGTTCAGGAGCTCGTCGGCAGTGTTGTACAGCATCTCGTAGTACTGCCTGCGAGAGACACGACAAATAGAGTGAAGTCAAAACAAGTATGGACCAATCGTAGTCTTTACTTTTTCCATCATCCAATCATTGATTTTCTTCAGGCACCTGAAGTCACAGAGAGTGGTTTAAAAAGAAAAACGACTGTGAAGAACAGAGGGAGGGGAACAGCATCACACACAGTTCTACCTGCTGACTGAGACATCAGCTCTGAAAAGGTCACAACTGTCTGAACAGACCTGAGCCAGGCTGGGTGTCCGGTCCCTGTGTCTCAACATGAGGTAACACACAGCAGTCACAAGTCTGGCAAAGGCAAACAGCAACAGCAACATATACTACAGTAGTTCAGATTCATTTACTGTATACTTTAATGTTACCCTCTGTATACTGTAATACTCACTCATATACTGTAGTAGTCTACAGAAGTACTGTAGCTGTGGGTAAAGCTGGTGCTGCTTGTAGTACTACCTAAACAGGCAGAAGTTGAAGGAAGTTTTTTCTTTTTCTCCTTCTTTCATCTGTTCCCTTCAGAGGTTGCTACAGCGAATCATCTGCCTCCAGGTCAACCAATCACCTGCCTCCGTTCCTTTTTACTTTTCCACCACATTTATGAATCTTCTCTGGGGTCGTCCTGCTAACTTCACCTCTGGCGTCCTTCGTCCGTTTTGTCCACAATATCTTTTCAGCATTTGTCCAACACTGTCAACGTTTTCTCTCCTGAAGCTTGACACACGCCCTAAATACTGCAGTGGGACTTGAGCTCAGGTGCTGGATCACGTCTGTTCCTCTGACCCTGTCAATCAGGGCCATTCCCAACCGCAGCACCACTGGTCTTCAACCTCCTGTCTCCAACTACTCCCTTTTCTCTAAACCAAAACATCACACATAAACTCAGCTTTTTTCCAGCTCCCCTTCTTCTCCACGAGACCAAAAGTCTCTTTCTGTCCCAGCAGCAGCTGCTGACCTTGTACAAGGGCAGATGCCACTCACTCAGCAGCGGCGCCTCCTGCTGCTTTGTGAGTGCAGAGGCTCAGGCTCTGGAGAAAGGCATCAGTGCTGACGATGTGAGGATGAAGAAGTTCACCTCTCTGTGAATCAAACACAGAGGACGAAGAATTGAACTGTGTTGACGTCAATAATCGTCCAGACATTCAAAGGTGGGAGAAGTGGACGGCTGTGAGTCTGTCACTAATGATGACAGAGAAGAGTTTTCAGGTGAGAAAGGTTATTTTTTTTTGTCTTGTTTTTCGAGCTGCATCGACCGTCTGCTGGTCTTTCAGGGCTAACGAGGCGTTAATGAGAAGTCTGGGAGCTTCTGTTCCAGTGTGTTTGATTAGTCATCATGTTCTAAACTCAACAATAACAAAAAAAAGAGAGTGTCGAGTGGGTGGAATGAACGAGAGAGACTAAAGAGATGAGTGACAAAGAGCAGCAAATGTCTACTTTTTTTCTTCTTCTTTGCCTCAAATACTGCCCTTGGTCATCAGAGTATTAGCATTCCGTCTCACTCTCCCTCCTGCTCTCGATTCCTCTCCAAGGTCTTGTTCATTTTTCCCTCTCTGCGTTCTTTCAATGAAAAAAGCTTGTCAATATTGATGAGGGTCACATTCGTTTACACCTTTAAGGCAAAAAAAAAACCCAAAACAAAACAGAGAGAGCAAACTGGTTTCACGTTAAGGTGTTATCTTATAATGAAACACTCCACGTTATTTGAGCATCTGTCGCCACAGCTGATAAATGGAATGTGTGTCTGTGTTTGGAAGTTTGTTTTTTTTGTTTTTTCTTTTCGTGATAAAGTGCATCAAATTCAGCCCTGGTAACACAGCGGTACGCCATCTCCCCAGAATCACCGCTACGTTCCTCAGACCTGCTGATTAACGGCACGCTTGAGGAAAATCACCTCGTTATACTTTATGATCTGACGGGGGAAGAAAAACGCACACAGTCACATAAAAACACTGGTGTCTTTAGAACAGACGTCTGCTCTGAGCTCAGAGGAGGAGAGAGTTGATTTTGAACAGAGCGATAAACACCAGTGGAGACGGCACCGGCATCACATTCAGATTTAATTTCTGCTCTTCTACAAAAAACATAATGATTCCCAACCTCTCCAGACTGCCATGTGAGGTACTTGTGTGTACAATTAGACTTTTTAAATGTACTCCTATATTGAGAAGTACGCAGAGTCGGTGGAATTTAGTCAGTAACTTACCACGACTACGAGGCTAAGACACTGATGCACTTTATAAATGATGGAAACAGAATGTCGGAGTTGTTCAAGTTAAACATTTGAGTTTTGACTCTTTTAATAAACTCAGACTAATATCACCAGGAGAAAAGGACGGGTGGTTTAGTGGCAGTGGTACTGTGTAGGATTCTCAACCTCCAGTCTGTGGACCGGTACTTGTCTTTGGGTCATTTGGTACCAGGCTGCAGTGAAAGAATTATTAATGTACTTCATTTGAAAATTTACTGACCCTGAACAATTCTTTAATGATCCTTCAACGACCAGCGCAGTGCTACGAGTCTTGGTACCTGCTAGTACCCCCCCGCCCTTGGACCTAGATTTCTGTACAAGATTCAGCGGCTCCTCTTTCTAAGGCAGTGTTTCACAATTTTTTTTTCTAGCCACGACACATATTTTGACTCAGTTTGAAACCTCAGCCTGTTTAGAGGAATACAACACTGATACACTCAAAGGAATTGAAGAAAGACCCAACATTTGTCTTCAACTGTTCTCTCTTTTTTTTAGTCTTTTACAGCTGCAGACATACAGTAACTCAACTGTCCACAATCAACAGTACTTTTTACTACAAGTACTGAGTAGCAGTAAAGGAGACGACACTCAATAAATTCAATAACTAATTTACATAAAATAGGTTTAAAACTAAATCAAGGTTGACGTTGGTCAAAAATGGTTATTCCTGTGCAATAATGCCCTTCTTTGCATCTCCAGAAGGTGGCACCTGCTTGCTTACCTCTTAAGTAGTAAGCACACTATAAATGTTAAAAATAGAACAGAACAGTGTTGGGTGGAGGCAGACTCTGACGGTAGAAGCTGAAGATGAAGAATTAGACTCAGCTTCCAGGTTCAGGGCTGGTAACTTTCACAGAGGAGTGAATTAACACCAGGGGCATTTCAAGAGACTTTAGGGGCTCTGGGCTGAAGGGACTTGTGGTGGGGGTGGGGAGCTGAGGTGGGGGGTGAGGGGGGGGTGCAGCACTGAACAAATCCCAAATAAGCTAGAGGCGAAAGGCTAAGAGGATTTACAAACATAGTGGTCGCTGCAGTCTTCTGTGCACTGGCCAACATCAGTTCATTCAAGACAGTCTTCAGCGTTGAACAGTGTGTTCAGCCGTTCAGGGTTCCTCCTCTCAGCCCCAGGTAATTACCTGCTTTACCCTAATCGCCTGCAAAGCAGCTGAAAAAAAAAACACCTCACCAAACACGCCTGATGAAAACTGATATTAGGACTTGGACCACTTTATCACAGACCAAATGCTGTTTGGACGTTCTCTCCCTCTCCTGCCAAAAAATGATTAGTCTGACAAAACAGCAAAAAGGAGCTGGAAAGCGTCGGAACCCATCTGTCGATGCAGCAGCAGCAGCAGCAGCAGCAGGAGGAAATTAGAAATACCTCATCAGTGCTATAAAGCATGGCTTAACTATGGTATAATAGCAGCTATAATTCACTTGGCACTGATGCATTTAGGGAAAAAAGGTTCCCACACAGGATTTGTTAAAAGCACATCAGCACATGCTCATTTATAACCGGTGGCTTCACGCTGCAGTTTACTCTGTTTCTGCAGGAACTGAGGGTCGAACTGACGGAACGGCTGCGTCCAAGTCTGTCGACTGTGGACACGTGAGAAACTGGTCCTCTGACT